TGAGATTTGTAGCAGCCCGATTCAAGGTTTCCTTACCAAAACTGAAATTGATCTCATCACCCATCCATCAAATTACCCATCTCAGCAGCACCCTGTGTTACAGGCCCCTATCTTAAGTCAACAGGTGAATGTCTTGGTATGCCTTGCTCTACAAGGAAATGATTAGGATCACACAATAATATTCCCATCCCCTCTGCCAGGACTGGCTACATCAAAAGTGCATATTTGAAGAACTCTTAGAGTCTGGCTGTGTAGAGGTCCTTGTCCTGCCTATTCAGCTGCACAGTTTTAAGTGCAACTCTGAGTAGATTTCATTTACCTTGTGCTACATCCACACTTAGTCATACTTATAATAAGTCTGTCAATATGGTGGTGGGACTTAATTTAGTCATGATTAAGTCCCATTGATTTTGGTGGACCAACATGAATAATTCTGGGTCAAACGCCATATATATATAATCCACACATTGCAGAAATGCTGTTCAGGTATCCAGTGAACACATAGAAGGAGCTGCTGAAGGTCACAGCACCCTGACCTCTGTGTGCTCAAGCATCCCATCGGTGTGGAGAATGTGGAGAGAGCCAGTGTGGTGTAGTGGTTAAGGGCATGGGATTTGGACTCAGGGGACCTGGGTGGCCATGCAGCCAACTGGGTGACTTTGGGCCAGACACAGACCGCCAGCCCACCCTACCTCGCAGGGTTGTTGCTGTGGGGATAAGAGTGAAAGCAGGTGGAAGAGAACGATGTAAGCCGCTTTGAGCTCATAAGAAAAAAAGTGGGATATAAATGTAATAAATAAACAAATAAATAAAGTGCATGTACACTCAAACTTGTGTAAAGACTTCCAGGGGAGCAGGCATACTAGTCCGTTACATCAAAAAGCAGCGTTGGTTAAAAAACGACTTGCTGCAACAGGACCTGATGTCATCTTTTAGGTGCTGCAACACATACATATGACATGGGGGAGCCCCCTTCCTGGGGAGGGTAGAGCTGCAGAGCATTGCTCCCCCCTAGAAGGCAGCCTGATCAAGCACATGCTTGTTCCTCACTCTGCCTTCACCTCTCGTCCTGTGATGTCTTTGTTGTTAGCTGACCCTTGCCTGTTCTGTTTTGCCTTCGTGTCTGACCCTGCACTGTATCACCGAGTTCTCCATCCGCCTCCACCACCTTTGGCCCTGGTGTTCCAGCTGAGGAACATCATCCAGAGCTGACAGGCATGGATTTCAGGGAAATCTGGAGGGGACAGATTGGAACCAAAGCTTGGCCCAAGTGAGGCTGAACTCCCCAACCAAAATGCTGAAAAGGCCATTCAAAACTCTTAATTGTTCTGGAGGAATGCAGGTCTCAGATCATGTAGACAGACATGGAGGTAGGCACAGAGCTTCCATATGCTTAGGATCCTCACTTTCTTCTACATTGCAGGCAGGGCTGGCTCATGTTGTCCTAACGCTTTCCCCTCTATGTGTCTGTCATGTACCCAGAAGAATGCCTGAATCGGATGGTTTACTCTATGGTTCTCCTGGATAAATTCACAGATGTGACCTTTTGTGATATATGCTCTACTATAAGCCTTCCAGCACAGCATTTATTATGTCATGAAAAATAAACAATGCACTTGTTTTTTGCTCCATAATAACTACCTTCTAATTTCATATCTCTCCCCAGCCACCGAAATAGAACCAGCAAACCACAGGGCAACTTCCTTAATTAAAAAGAAGTCCTCTCAAGTTCAGCTGTTTTATGTTGAGTCACTCCTGAGTGGAAAATGCCCACTAGCTTCTCTTGTTTGATTCACATCATGATAGGTATTTCTCCCTATCAGCTGGTTTGTAAGGTCTGGAAGTGAGTTGTGTGTGTGTAGCATTCACTTAGAAACATAGAAACAGAGCGAGTCAGAAGGGGTTTCCCGGGCCATCTAGTCCGACCCCCAGCACCAGCCGGCTCCACTCACGACATGCCCACCATGTGGACGTCCAGCCTATCCTTGAACACCCTCACTGATGGGGCCTCAGCGACCTCCCGTGGAAGCCCATTCGACACCCTCGGGGTCCTGACTGTCAGGAAGTGCTTCCTGGCATCCAAATGGAACCTTGGCTCCCTGAGCTTTGCTCCGTTGGAGCGCGTCCTGCCTTCCTCTGCAGGGGAGAACAGTCTCTACCCATCTCCATGTGACATCCCCTCACATACCTGTATGTCGCCAACATATCCCCTCTGAGTCTCCTCCAGGCTGAAGAGACCCAGTTCCCTCAGTCTCGCCTCATACAGCATCCCCTGCAAACCGGCCACCAACCTTGTGGCCCTGCGCTGCACTGACTCTAACCTGACTATATCCTTTCTGTAATGAGGGGCCCAAAACTGAGCACAATACTCCAGTGGCGGGTGCACCAGAGTCATATAGAGTGGTAGTAATACCTCTCTCGATCTAGAAGCCACACTTCCGGCTATGCAACTTAAGACCACTCATGCGATAGTTCTACAGTGGTTCAATACAGGTAAGATGAGAAGCTTGAGCGAAGCAGGGCACAGTAAGGCAGGTGCATGATTTCCTAGCTTGGCACTTTCTTCAAAATAATCTCTTGCCATTTTAGCGGGATGGAAAAGACTTCATTATTCCACTGTGGGTCTTCATTGTCAACTGACCAACTTGCTTTATGACCCTCCCACGGGGCTGCTTTGTCTGCTTTTTTAATGATCGAAGCTGTAATTCTCGGTTTATCTACCTGGAAGTCAACTCACTGAACTTAACAGGCTTACTTCTGAGCAGACCTATAAAGCACCGTGCACTAAATCAAAAGATTGTTTTTGTTTTTATCTCATCATTTTTCTTCCATTCATTGGAGTGCTTTAATGGAGTGAAAGGATGGTTACCGTTTCCCATCAATGAGGAAAACGAAGGGGCAGCTATTCCAAGGTGGCACCTCAAAGGTCTCACTTCAGCAGAGCATGGCCATGTGTCCTGCATTACAGAGGGCAGTCCTCTGTTTGAAGGAATCAGTTATGAAATAAAGTCACTTTGAAAGGCTGTCCAGTCCAAGTCTGGTCCAAAGAACCCCAAGAAGAAAGCACCCGGACATATTCTGCAGTCTTCTCCACTACTTTAGATTCCTATTTAAAGCATAATATTGATTTCAAAATATGCATAAAATTAGCATATGCAAAGCTGTGCTGACTTCTGTCTGGAAACAGTAGCTTGGAGCAGTGACTATTCTAACTGGCTGCTGGGTTTCTTTGTTTATTTATGACATTGCTATGCCACCCAATAGACCAGGGATCTCAAACTCAAGGCCCGCGGGCCAATTGCGGCCCGTGGGATGATATTTTGTGGCCCCCACTTGATATCAAAGTTTAATGATAGTGCAGCCCACACGTTTTTCTCACACGCACCTGTGTGAGTCGTTACCCAAATGGAGCTAATTGACCTGCAGTGCAATTCTGAACTCAAAGCCAAGTTCAGGGAGGTGAGTGGAAAAGCAGACAAGCTTGGACAATTTTTGAGAGAATTGCCCCTTATCTTCCCTGAGCTTTCCAGGATGTTCAAGCGGACCATGTGCCTTTTTGGGAGCACCTATCTGTGTGAAAAGCTCTTCTCCACCATGAACTTTAATAAGTCAAAGTTCAGGTCCAAACTTACTGATGAGCATCTTCAAGCCATACTGAGGGTCTCAGTTGCTTCCTCCCTCAAGCCAAATGTGGCTCAGCTGTGTAAGAGGAAGCGCTGTCAGGTCTCTGGCAGCAAGGAGTAGGAGGAAGTAAGAGAAGCCAATGTTCTAAATAACCGTTCATGTTCTGAATTATTATTAGTAAAGATTGAGAAGATTGGATCAGTTGTACTTTTTTTGGAATACTTGAAATCCTTTTTTTGTGGAATACTTGATGCGGCCCAGCCTCACCCAGACTCTACTTCCAGCAGCCCCCAGGTAAGTTGAGTTTGAGACCCCTGCAATAGACAAAGGTCTCTAGGCAATACTCTACGGTTAAAATGCTAAAATACAACATAATATGCATTATGAAAGTTTAGGAGCTTAAAACTGCAGTACCCAAAGTGAAACCTAGCAGTAAAATCCAAAGAAAAACTTAGGAGTAGTTGAAAGATTTCAAATACAGTAACAAGTTCAAATGACAGAAACTGAAAGACTAAGATGCCTAGGAAAATAAAATCTGGTGCTGCAAAGACAACAATATAGACAACAGGTATGTCTGTCTGTGAACATTTTCCTAAAATTTAAGCTGCAAATTTGTTCCCAATAAAATTCTGCCTAATTGCACACCAAACACACAAACACAGTGCCCCAGGAGGGGTGTATGAAGAAAACTTATTTCCCCCCTCCTCATGCATTTTAAGATTCCCTGGATTTTCCATTTGGCATGTGGAGTCCTCCACTGAGCAGAAGAATATGCTGGATGGGCTTGCGGACTCCATGCAACTCCACAATTCTATGAGTCCATGATAAGTTTATTGGGTTCTCTGTTGTGTGTCACGGCTGGTAAGCTGAAGACAACTTTCTCCTTTTCATTTAATTATGCTGATTCTGAGATTGTGTGCTTTTCCTTGCTGCTGAAGCTGTCTGAAGACGGTTTGATGCATTAGAAGTGGAGCAGATGGCTGCTTGAGAACTCAGTGTGAAGCAAAATGGGGAGAAACCAGTGGAGAGGTAGCTACATCACCCTCACAAGCTCACAGAAATCTATGCCATCCTAGCCAAAACGTTCTGAGAGAGGAAGAGAGTGAGAGAATGAGTGACACAATTCCAGGTTTGCCTAAGATTACCTTCGACCGTTCCCAAAGAAGCTCCTCCATCTAGCAGACAATATTTGGCATAAACAAGAGGATTGGCACATGCCCTGGGAGGAGCAAGGAACACCCTTTATGGCAACACCCTCCATGGGAGATATAACTAAGGATCAGCGGGGAGAGAGTGTGTGCAGTCAGAATCCCAATACCAGACTGTGCAGCTGAGCTGGGGCTTTCACTGGGCTTGGTTTCTCAACTTCTGTCATCATGAGCTGTGGTGTGAAAGGAGGCAGCACTAGCATCGGTGGTGGGGGAAGCATCTGTATTGGAGGCGGTGGCGGAGGCTTCAGTGGTGGAAGCGGCAAAGGCATCAAAATTACAAGCTCGGGATCCTCGAGGGGCTTTTCTAGAAGAAGTTACGGTGGAGGACATAGGAGCATAGGAGGTGGTTTCAGCAGTGGTAGCTGTGGAAGAATAAGCAGAGGGAGTGTATGCTATGGAGGCAGCAGCTATGGTGGTGGGAGCTACAGTGGTGGAAGGTATGGAGGAGGAGGCTACTGTGGTGGCGGCTATGGAGAGGGGGGCTACTACCCATTCAGCAGTGGCAGCTTTGGCTTTGGAGGTGGCGAAGGTGGCCTCCTCTCCACCAATGAGAAGATAACCATGCAGACCCTGAATGAACGCCTGGCTCAGTACCTGGAAAGGGTGCGATACCTAGAAGACGAAAATGCTCAGCTTGAAATCTCGATCAGAGACTGGTACCAGAAGCATGGTGGGATTACGGCACCAAGGGATTACAACCCCTATTACCAGCAAATTGACCAGCTCTACAATGAGGTATGTCATCCTGTTTTAGTGACTGCGAAGTCTTGGATTTGTGCACCTCGTTCTGTTATTAGGCTGAGAAATATTGGACAGGAGTGAATTGATCAGTATTTAACAGGCTGCAATTGACATCTCAGTGTTAATGTCTGGGATGAGGCACAGGCATTCCAAAAGCTGTCCCCGCAGCTTTTCAGTAAAGCAACAAACAAGCAGGGAGAAAGTAGCCTTCCCCAATCTAGTACCCCCAGACGTGTTAGACTCTGTCTCCCAGTATGCTGGCAGTTATGACTGAACACATTTATTTCTTAGATTTAGATCTCACCTTTTCTCCTTCCAAGGAACTTAAGGCAGCTTACATAGTTCTCCTGCTGCTCTCCAACTTATCCCCACAACAACAACCCTGTGAGGTAGGTTGGGCTGAGAGCTGTGGCTGGCCCAAAGTCACCCACTTGGCTCCATGGCTGAGCGGGGACTAGAACTGGGATCGCCCGAGTCCCAGTCCTGCACTCTTAACTCCCACACCACAGTGGCACTCCATAGGCCAGTGTGTCCCCTTTCCCACAACCCCTTCTCTTGCCCCCAGCCACTGATCATTTGGTGGTTTCCCAGCTTTGCGCAGTCCCATCCCCCCATTCAGAAAGGCTGACATGCCTCACCTGTGCCCCAGCTACCCACAGTAAGAGCTTTAAGCTTCAATAGGCTGGCCTTGCTGGTATTTTGGCCCCAGACTGCTTGCCTTCGATTCTGCCTGCCCCGGAGGGTGGCCTCCGAGAGCTTTTTCAACTTGGCCCTTGGACTTGAACACCTCTGTGCAGCTCCTTACATGTGATGCTGCACAGAGCTGAACTTTGGTCCCCATCCAAGATCTGGCTTGGATGTGGCAGTTACCTGTGCATGATGGCAGTGCCAATCACAGGTGTTGCATCCCATGGAGAGAAGGTGAGCATGGCCAGGCAGGACATCAAATGGAGTGCCCTTCAGTGGGTGTCACTGCACAGTTTTAGTGGCCATGACCCCCAGCTGCTGCAGGCAGGTAGATGAAGCAGCCGCGAGTCATCAGGGCTGGACAAAGCTGCTTGCATTGGGAAAAAGAGTACCTTTGCATGATCTCTCTCTTCTTGGAATAGGGCTGTTGCAGCCTGGATTGGATCCAGATTTAGTCATATTTAGAAAAGGCCCATTTGAAATGAATGGGACTTAAGCTGAATCAATGGGGCTGACTCTCAGCCTAACCTATCTCCCAGGGTTGTTGTGTGGATAAGATTGAGCAGTGCAGGAGGATTCCTTAAGCTGCCTTGAAGGAAAAGGGGCAGGATATGAAAATAAATGAGCAAACAAACATTAAGTTAGTCATGATGACTATAAAGCCACTGATTTCAGTGGATCTACTCTAAATACGATTAAAACTAGATTTAGCCCTGTATGCTGTAGGACTGGCTCTGGAAAGGGTTCCAGTATTTCAGCTGATCCAGAATAGGGCAGGTGGCTGGCCTGCTCACTAGTATCAGCCTAGCACTCAAATTTGTGGGAGGATAAAGTTGGAGGGGGCTCATGAAATCCACTAGCTCCACCCAAGCCCTCCCCACTTCTAAGAAAATCATGACTGTTTATACTCAAGCTATCTGGAGTATTCACTCCAATATTGCTCTTGAGAACCAATGCATATTCTGCCCAGCACGTCTATCAGCAACACCAGTGGAAGCAATATCGATAGATCTGCACCCCCCAAAATAATTCTAGTTGGAGTATCCTTTTTTATTGTTAATCAGCTTTCATTTTTAGTTATAGAAGCACAATGTAATTACATTATCAAAACAAAAGGCTGACATAACACAAAAATGAACAAAAAAACCTAATAGAGGGAGGAAAGGAAAGTGGGGGCATAGGTCAGTGTTGACCATGCTGACATGGGGCTGATGGGAACTGTAGTCCAACATACCAGAGGGCACCAGATTGGAGAAGGTGGTTTCTATTATGTTGCCACAATTTCTAAAGACATGGCAGTTATTGAGCATAAATATTTCCATTCATCTATTCTCAGCTTGTTTGCGAAACAGATGACTATAACAAATACCTTCTGAATATTGATAACACCAGGATGACAGCTGAAGATTTTAAGCTGAAGTGAGTATGCCTCATTTTCACCTGCCTTTTTCAGATGTAGTGCCCTTCAGCAATTTTACTTGAGAAATACCTATTTTATATAAATTGCGCTGTTCCTTAATAGACCCAAATGTGGCTGACAAGGACACACATGACAAGTGCAACAAAACGTTGTTCAGAGTTCTAGCCTGCTAGTCAGCAAGCCCAGCCTTCTTCTAGACTACTCCCATCCCATCCCATCCCATCCCATCCCATCCCATCCCCTTGCTTTCTGTTCCCACTCCTCCAGCAGTTGGCAAGCATTCTATGGCCACAGAGCAAGCTCCATCCTTTCCAAATGTCCATTTGAACAAAGCAAAGGCATCATATACCAGAAATTAAAACGAATCCCTTACAATGGGTGTGTATGAAGTGTATGTGCATAAATATAAGTATGTAATAATAGTGCAATCAAGAGAAACAGTTGTGCAAACACTTCAGAAAAGGCAGCCCAAATGTGCAAGCATAGTCTTGATTGGGTTGTTGGTTTGTTTTGGTTTGGTTTTTGAGGGAGGGTTTATTTTGCAAGACTTGTCAGTGACAGTCCTTCTCTCTCCCCGTTTCCTCTGGATTAGGTATCAAACTGAATGTGGTCTCCGCCAGAATGTGGAGGCCGATATCAATGGCCTGAGACCCCTCTTGGATCAGCTGACCCTTGCAAGGTCTGATTTGGAGATGCAGTACGAGTCTCTGAAGGAGGAGCTGATCTGTCTCAAGAAGAACCATGAGGAGGTAGGAGCACAACCTCACCATGGACAAAAATGAACCTCTGGTGGGACTGTTGGTTGCCAACCATTTTGCTTACGTTGGGTAGAAAATCCAAAATATGTATGACATGTTACACCAGATATGCCCCCCCCCGCCCATTTTAATTAAACACAATTAAGTAGGGGATTTTCTTCTTTTTGGTAAAGGGCCGCATTGCCTATCAATACATACAACACTCCACTAAACTGTATTAAGGGAGTGAATGGCTTCCAAGCCCTAAAGGACAATAAAGTCATAGAGATGGAAGGTCCTTGGAAGTCAGCTAGTCTAGTTCTCTGATTGTATGCAGGATACACCTGCAGCATCCTTGCCCAGCTTTTGTTCAAATACCTCAAGTGAAGGTGAGCCCATCCCAAGGCAGTCTGTGCTGCTCTCATGGTTAGGAATTTTCTCCCAATGTTTAGCTGGAATGTGCTTCCTTGCCATTTCCACCCACTGGCTCTACTCCTGCTCGCTGGAGTAAGACAGGACAAGTCTGCTCCATCTTCCTCATGACTGACCTTATTCAAAGGCAGCTATTGTGTCTACCCTTTATTGTTTCTTCTCTGGGCTAAATATACCCAGATCTTTCCACTGTTCCTCACAGAACTTGGTTCACAGACCCCTCACCATCTTTGCCAGCCTCCTCTGCATGGATTCCACTTTCTTTTCTTCTGGAAAGGCATAGGAAGCCAAAGGTCCTGATTAGGCTTGTATTCCTACAACTTCAGGGCCCACTCCATACATTCATTCTTCAGGTGCAGAGATTATTCTCTTTTATGAAAAGAAAAAGGGGGCGGGGAGGGAATTCACTTTACCTGGAAGCCTTTATAAGGGCCAGGGAGAATCAGCTGACCCCCTGTGACTCATAGGTGTTCAGAGCATGCCTTGCTGAGATCCGGGTGGCCTTCCTTTCTTTGGTCAGAGCTGAGTGCTAGTACCCTGCTTGGTGTCCCACAGGTGCTCCAAGAGCACCGTGGACTCAAACTCTGACACCCAGGATCAGAAGGGGTGGTTTTGCTTCCTCTGAAGCAGGGCTGTGCTTTCTCCATCCCTCCTCTTTCTGATGTTTCCTAGACACACTAGCAATGCATTTTTAAGAACCATGTCTGTTGCACAGATTTTGTTTTATGACCTCGTTCCCTTCTCCATCTTTGCAGACCATGAGAGGACTGATCAGTCAGACTGGCCACGGCGACGTCAGTGTTGAGGTGAATGCTACTCCTGGTGTCAATCTGAAGCAACGTCTTGATGAGCTCAGGGCTGAATATGAACAACTCATCGAACGAAACCGCAGAGAGGTGGAAACCTGGTATGAAAGCAAGGCAAGTGAAGCATATTAATGCCCTCTCTTTGTCTTACCACCAGGCTGCTGCTTTTAGATTGGGATCTTCTGAGGATCCTCGGATGAGCTCAAAAGACTGATGCTGGCATCAGAATTGCATTTAGTACATTGTTCCAAGTGTTGACTGCAAAGCAGGTCTGGAAAGCATGAAGTGTCCAACAAAAGCAAATTGAACAGAGTAGGACACATGTCAGAGAAGATGGGAGATTAAAAGAATTATTTATGTTAATTATACCCATGGACTTTTTTAAAATCACAATTAAAAGAGAAAAAGGACAGGTTTATGAAAGAGCACATTGAAAATTTACATGGCTGATCAATCCATTCCTAACAAACTTTTAAATAGGATTTAACTATATTCTGAATAAAGAAATATAAGGTGGAAAGCTTAGCTATCGCAATATGATGTATACTTGTTTAGTCCTCAGTGTGTCTTTTATCTTTATGTTCACAAGTTCAACAGATCTACTCTGAAAGTAAATGGCCACGTATATCACAAAACCCTCTTTTGTGTCATTCTTTGTTTATTTAGATGGAGGAGGTCCGCCGAGAGGTCAATACAAGTGGTCAAGAGATAACGTCTGTCAACCACCAAGTGACAGAACTGAGACGTGAATATCAGAACCTGGAGATAGAGCTACAATCCCAGCTCAGCATGGTATGTGGCTGCCGGCACAAAGGACACGTGCAACGTGCAGGAAACCCACCACACCTGATCTTTCATTTGCTTAAAAATGTTGCTTTAAAACAGCTCAGCTTTCCGCATGACATCAAGGCACAGTTTTGTCTCTTTTCTCCCCACCGCCCTTTTTAATTTTTTTACTAGAAAAAAATACATAAGTACATACAATGCAATACAAATACATATCATTCAAGATAAATCAATAATATTAACATCTAGAGCCCAACTGATAACTAAAAATAACAATTAACACTGTGCACCCACTCCCCAGGAGACCAATTGTTACCTCCATTTTATTTCATATATTATAACAATTAACAGTATATAATATTTTATTTATTTTTCGATTTATATCCTGCCTTTTTCCTACAAGGGGCTCAAGGCAGCTTACATTATTCTCCTCCTCCATCTTATCCCCACAACAACAACCCTGTGAGGTAGGTTGGACTGAGAGTCTGTGACTGGCCCAAAGTCACTCAGTTGGCTCCATGGCTGAGCGGGGACTAGAACCCAGGTCGTCTGAGTCCCAGTCCCATGCTCTTAACCACGACACCACACTGGCTCTCCTAATATATTTCAGTAATACCCATACCCCCAGTTTTGCCTCTTTTCTGATGGCTGTATGCCACGTGTTTCCTTTCTAATATCAGATCCAGTCTCTGCAAAGCAATCTGGAAGACACAGAACGTCGGTACAACATGCAGCTCCAACAGATTCAGTGCCTGATCAATCCAGTAGAAGCAGAGCTGGCCAGCATCCGCTGTGAGATTGAGAACCAGAATCAGGAGTACCAGCTGCTCCTCGGCATCAAAACCCGCCTGGAACAGGAGATTTGCCAGTATCGCCGACTGCTGGAGGAAGGACAGCAAGAAATGTAGGTTGGCAACGGGAGCACTAGAAAGTACAGACTCTTGACTGTAAATAGCATCATCCAAATCATCGTTGTCACCCTGGGAGCTGAAGATTTTCTCTATAAATCCTGTTGCCATTCACTGGCCTGTGAGAGGTTCTACAGAAAGCTTGTGTCTGTGTTTTCACATACTTAGTGATCAGGGCACAGCGCCCCATGTAGGAGGAAAGGGAGCGAGAGGGGTGAGAAATGAAAATACAAACTGCCTTGTACTATATCATGACCAGGATCCATCTAGGCAGATACTGTCAGCTCCCTGAGGCCTCAGGCTCAGACTGAGTGGTGCTAATGCACATGATGGGGGGAACAGGGCTGCTTGGTGCCCAGGCCACCAGGCGGACTATCGGGCTGCTCTTTTGTGTGAAGGGTTTTGCTCTGTCATTTATGATTGTATTTGTGTTTGCCAGTGGTTCAGCAGGATACGGAATAGGATACAGTGGCGGCAGAAGAGGTAGCATTGGAAGAATCAGTACTGGAGGAGGAATCATTGGCGGCGGAGTCGGCATAGGGTCCATTGGCGGAGGCGGCTCATGTACCGACATTGGTGGTGGAGGCAGTCAAGTCTGTGGGGGAGGCATCAGCACTTCTTCGCCATGCTACCCTCAGCCTGTGCAACCTTGCAAACCAGGTGAGAGTAAAGAGGAATACAAGGGCGGTTTTGCTTCTGTGAATCTTCTGTTGCCTTTGCCTTTCTCAAGCAGTGGGGATGTTCCTCCATAAAGCCTGGTTGCAGGAATTGTTTTAGCTCTGTGGAAGGGCCAGACCCACTATTAGAGTGAGGCCATTGCCTCGGGCAGCAGATGCTGGGAGGTGGCTTTTTGGAGAAGAGAGCTCTGGGCCAGCCGGCCTGCCCTGCTCCCACTGAACTGGCCTGCTGTGGTGGAGAATGCCAGTGTTGCAGAAAGACTCGACTGCCAGGGCAGTCAGCCTTTGCCTATGGAATGGGAAGGGACACTATCTTGTCCAAGCACCCTCCATCTTCAGCATTCCCTATATCTGATAAGTTAGAACAGAAAATCACTCCATCCAGAAGATACAGGTGGTAAAACATTCTGCATCATGGTCTGAGTGATATTTTTCATTCCATTAGGATCAAGAGCCAGGCTCTTTAGCAGAACTGCGCTAAACTTGTTATTTCCAGTGCTTTAGGAAGCAAGTTTGATAAGTTGCTAGCAAATGCCCTTTGTGCTTCTATTCTTGTAACTCATGCATTCCTGTACATCTTCCCCCACCCTGTTCTTTTCTTCTCTTTCAACAGGTTTTGGCAGGAAATCCTGCGACTAACCCAATTCCATACGATGCCGCTCCAGCCTCAGCCCCTTCAGGTTGCTGCAATGATACAGGAAGAGAGTGCCTGCAGAAATTCTCTTCATGGACCCATGAGACGGAGAGGATTGCTTCCTCTCATGGTCTAGGGCTGCTCTTGACACCTCTCTGTATGTGTCTATTGCAAACAGATCGCCCTCTTGTTTCTTGTTCCTTCCGTTCTTTAAAGCTCCTTCTCGCAGGACGTGCTCTTTCTTTAGTTTATTAGCGGCTGGCTTTCGGCTTCTGATATGGATGAGGGTTGTCTAATAAAGTTCTACTGCTGCTTGAAGCATTCAGAAAATCCACGTGTCCCCTGTTATTTCTGGTAAACATTTGATGTGTGCCAAAAGGCATACAAATGCTTTCGTGGCACTTACTCAGTGACGGTTGATCTCATAGCAGGCATACAGGGTGATACTCTGCTGCCTTTGGAGCAGTCCATTTCTTACATCAGGCCAGGTCTCTCAAGATCGTAACAGCCAAATGCTACTGACGGCTTGTGCCTGAAATATGTATGGGCCAGTTCGCCATGTGTGGATCCAAGAGCAAAAATGCATTCCCTTCCTCTTTCAACAGCTAACAACTCAGGGGGAAGATGCAGGGATTGTGTCTCCATTGTTATGAATGGTCTGAGTCAGAATGGCTTTGTGCCATTTCTCATTTTCCAAACTTCAGTTGTTTCATTCTGTTTCCATATTGATTCATTAATTATTTTAACAGTTTACACAACATCCATACATAGTTCTGTGAAAGCTTCTCCTAATGTATGCAGGATCTCGTGTTTTCTAATTTATGCACTTTCCCATATGTGAAAAAGGAATTTCATATAAGGAGTTTCTCATTAGGAGTTTTGCAATATTTTCACTAAGAGGCCCTTTTTTTGAACTTCCCCCAGAATTCTGCATTTTTCTACTTCGTAACTGTATTGCAACATTTGGAGAATTGCAAATCACTGTTTCAGTTCAGAGAGTGGTTTGGGAAGAAAGAACATATTTCTCCCTACCAGTTTGATACTCTCCCTACCAGTCAGACAAGGCCAAAAATATTCACGTGGCTTTATAAAGCTTCTCACTCCCCAAAGAGCTCAGGCACAGAGTGAATTCCAATAGCCACCCGGCTTATCAGTGGCTGCCTTGGCTGCCTAGCTAATCAGTACTAGCTTGCTTTCGGGCGATAAGTTTCCTTCCAAAACCCAGGATGGAACACTTGGAAGTTATTTACTGCTTTTCCTTGCAATACTTATAAGGGAATTCACAATTAAAATAACTCGCAATTGAAAAGTTGTGACACAAAAGGAAAGAAGAAATGGGTTGGGGCAAGAAGAGGAAAATAAGCAAATACAAGGATCCATGACCACAGCCACATTGACAAAGCAGGATTGGTTACATGTACATCCCGAGATTTGTCACAACTGTGGCCAACTCTAGTCCCAGCTTTAACCTGGAAATGTAACTTGAATATGACCAAGATAATTAAAAAAAACATTTTAGGGAGGTTTAATAATGGCATCAAATGAAGGGGACATACATCTCTGTAGGTGCATCGACAGTGTCAAAGATAGTTAAAGAAAAAAAAGGCAATTATTAGAAGTCTGCCCAGAGAGGCTAAAAGGGAAGTTTTCTGTTAGAGCAAATCTTGTTTCATCCACTGCTTCCCCACCAGAAGAGGAGAAAAGCAGAGGCCTACCCCTACCCCTAACCATTCAACTGGCTGGTGGTTATTCCCTCTTTCTAGATACGTTCGTGAACAGCAGTCCCGCCAGGGAGCTGGGGGACCTTAAGGGGCTGGCCCATGTCGCGATGACACCATGAAGCCAACTCAGAGCGAATGCACGGATTGGTGTCCTCATTCAGGGTGGGTGAATTCACGCACCCCTGTTCAGCAAGCACATCCCCAACAGACACCAATGCTAAGTGTGTCCTTCAAAGGGAGAGCGTGGGATTTTGAAGCATCCCTTCTGGCTCGGTCCTCACGCCCTCCTTCCAGCTGGCCCATGGGGAAAGAAACCAGTGAATGTCTGTGTCCTGGCATTCTCTGTGCCTTTTGGACTGCAATTCCCAGCCCTAGCTAGCATGGCCCATACTCAGAGGTGGTGGGACCTGGTGCCCAAATGCCTGGAGGATGCCAGGTTGGGAAGGCTGGCTTGAGGGGCCGATTAGCAGGGCTGCCTGGGGGAATCTGGGAGTGCAGCAAAAGCCTCCCTCTCAGGGGACCTGCTTTCCCCAAAGGCCCTGCACAGTGCTACATCTGACTCCCAAACACACATGCCTCGAGTCATTTTCAATTTATTTCAGAATCAGTCCAATCCAATCAAGCTTGTCCATTCTTCTTACAGTTGCCATTTCACAGGCTTTCTTAGCAATAGTATGAGGTGGGAAGAGGCTGCAAGAAAGGGACTTGTCCACAGATGTGCACAGTAACTTCATGGCTCGATAAGGCTTTGAACCCGGTCCCTGCACAACCAGCGATGAAAATTATTTCCATCTGATCCAGCACTCTTTGGCCTACAGGGGGTGGCCTTTTTCTCCGACAATGCAAGGCTTTTAGGGAACTCAGACAAGGTCATCATGCATAACCATCTGCATCTTGGTTTTTACTAGCCTCTGGTGACTAGAGATATCCTGCCCCTGAATATGGAGGCTCCACACTTAGCTAACATGGCCAATGACCGAGGGAACATCTATGAATGTAACTCGCTCTTTTTCAAAGCTATTTGTTTTAGTAGATCTCTCACCATCCATTGACTACATGTGCTGTGTGAAAAACACTTTTTTATCTCTGCTGGACCAGTGACGAGTCAATTTAATTGGGCCTAAAAATCTTTCCAGTACAATACATTCCTCCTGTTCCTTCCCTTAACCCTGCCCACAGCTACTAGCTTGCATGCGCTGAAAATTTTATCAAAACAATGACAACATGAGATCATTAGATAATCAGAGAGGATTTGGTGCTAGTCAATGGATCTCCACATTATAAGTGTTTAAGACATTTTCTTTGTCTTCAGGGCAAACATTGTGGGGGACATCTAGGGTTAGGTGACTTTGCCAATTTTTCCCACTCTTGCACCCCCTCACCCCCCCTCCAGCATTCCCTGGAAGTTGTACAGTGTCCCACAGTGTGTGACTTGTTGGACTAGAGATTCCCAAGGGAAGAAAATGGTTCCAAGGTTTCTCACAGTTGCCCACCTCTGTTCTAATCTTTCAGCCAGGAAAGGAAAGCAGAGTTCTATTGAAATAAGAAATTCGAGGTATTTGTTCCATCTTTGCTGTTTATATCTCTCCTGGAAGAGAATAGCCAAGAGGAAAGAGAGCAGTTAGAAAGAGAAGGCATGAAAGGTTGTTGCATGCAGAGAAAGGTGAAAGAAGGCTAGCAGAGGAAAGGAACTGGACATTTGCAAAAAAAAGAAAAGAAAAAAGGTGTGCTTCATATCTATGGTAAACAGCACAGCTTTTCAGTTAGTCTTGAAAACTGATGAGCACAAGCCAATGCTTAGGAAAATACCTACAAGAAAAGAAAATAGCCTAAGGGCAATTGGAACAATGATGCTGTTGCTTGCTGTTTCTTAAATACTCTGCTCTTCAATCTTAAATAGGTTTATTCAGACATAACTCCCACTGTGTTCTCCATCCTCTAGTGTATTTGTTCAGGATTCCAGTTGAA